CAAACTGCAGTCAGGTCAAGACCCTGGTGAGGACAACGAGCATGCAGATGAGCTTCCATGAGACGGTTTCTGACAGTTTATGCAGAAATTCTTCAGTTGTGCAAAACCCAGTTTCATCAGCTGTCCGGGTGGCTGGTCTCAGACGATCCTGCTGGTGAAGAAGCCGGATGTGGAGGTCCTGGGCTGGCATGGTTACACGTGGTCTGCGGTTGTAAGGCCGGTTGGCTGTACTGCCAAATTCTCTAAAATGACGTTGGAGGCGGCTTATGGTAGAGAAATGAACATTTAATTATCTGGTAATACAGTGGGGGGAAAAAGTATTTAGTCAGCCACCAATTGTGCAAGTTCTCCCACTTAAAAATATGAGAGAGGCCTGTAATTTTCATCATAGGTACACGTCAACTATGACAGACAAAATGAGAAAAGAAAAATCCAGAAAATCACATTGTAGGATTTTTAATGAATTTATTTGCAAAATAAGTATTTGGTCAATAACAAAAGTTTCTCAATACTTTGTTATATACCCTTTGTTGGCAATGACACAGGTCAAACGTTTTCTGTAAGTCTTCACAAGGTTTTCACACACTGTTGCTGGTATTTTGGCACATTCCTCCATGCAGATCTCCTCTAGAGCAGTGATGTTTTGGGGCTGTCGCTGGGCAACACAGACTTTCAACTCCCTCCAAAGATTTTCTATGGGGTTGAGATCTGGAGACTGGCTAGGCCACTCCAGGACCTTGAAATGCTTCTTACGAAGCCACTCCTTCGTTGCCCGGGCAGTGTGTTTGGGATCATTGTCATGCTGAAAGACCCAGCCACGTTTCATCTTCAATGCCCTTGCTGATGGAAGGAGGTTTTCACTCAAAATCTCACGATACATGGCCCCATTCATTCTTTCCTTTACACGGATCAGTCGTCCTGGTCCCTTTGCAGAAAAACAGCCCCAAAGCATGATGTTTCCACCCCCATGCTTCACAGTAGGTATGGTGTTCTTTGGATGCAACTCAGCATTCTTTGTCCTCCAAATACGACGAGTTGAGTTTTTACCAAAAAGTTCTATTTTGGTTTCATCTGACCATATGACGTTCTCCCAATCCTCTTCTGGATCATCCAAATGCACTCTAGCAAACTTCAGACGGGCCTGGACACGTACTGGCTTAAGCAGGGGGACACGTCTTGCACTGCAGGATTTGAGTCCCTGGCGGCGTAGTGTGTTACTGATGGTAGGCTTTGTTACTTTGGTCCCAGCTCTCTGCAGGTCATTCACTAGGTCCCCCCGTGTGGTTCTGGGATTTTTGCTCACCGTTCTTGTGATCATTTTGACCCCACGGGGTGAGATCTTGCGTGGCGCCCCAGATCGAGGGAGATTATCAGTGGTCTTGTATGTCTTCCATTTCCTAATAATTGCTCCCACAGTTGATTTCTTCAAACCAAGCTGCTTACCTATTGCAGATTCAGTCTTCCCAGCCTGGTGCAGGTCAACAATTTTGTTTCTGGTGTCCTTTGACAGCTCTTTGTGGAGTTTGGAGTGTGACTGTTTGAGGTTGTGGACAGGTGTCTTTTATACTGATAACAAGTTCAAACAGGTGCCATTAATACAGGTAACGAGTGGAGGACAGAGGAGCCTCTTAAAGAAGAAGTTACAGGTCTGTGAGAGCCAGAAATCTTGCTTGTTTGTAGGTGACCAAATACTTATTTTCCACCATAATTTGCAAATAAATTCATTAAAAATCCTACAATGTGATTTTCTGGATTTTTTCTCCTCAATTTGTCTGTCATAGTTGACGTGTACCTATGATGAAAATTACAGGCCTCTCTCATCTTTTTAAGTGGGAGAACTTGCACAATTGGTGGCTGACTAAATACTTTTTTCCCCCACTGTAGCTCTGTTGGACATTCCTGCAGTCAGCATGCCAATTGCACGCTCCCTCAAAACTTGAGACATCTGTGGCATTGTGTTGTGTGAAAAACTGCACATTTTAGAATGGCCTTTTATTGTCCCCAGCACAAGGGGTACCTGTGTAATGATCATGCTGTTTAATCAGCTTCTTGATATACCACACCTGTCAGGTGGATGGATTATCTTGGCAAAGTAGAAATGTTCACTAACAGGGAAGTAAACAAATTTGTGCACAAAATTTGAGCAAAATACGTTTTCCGTGTGTATGGAACATTTCTGGGATCTTTTATTTCAGCTCATGAAATTTTACATGTTGTGTTTATATTTGTGTTCAGTATAAATAGATTTACTCAGAACGTAGTGAAGTAAGTGAATAAGCAACATGATGAGCCACGACGAAGGTCTATGTGACCAAAACAGTGCACGTTTCAATACAGAAATTCATACTTTAAAACCCTTGCATATTGTATTCGACATCTCTCCTTCCAGTGCTAAACGTAAAACAATGATTTTAGACCCTGTTCGTGCAAAACGGTTAAAAAATATGTTTCACGTTTGTTACACAGAAACGGTGTCTCCCTTCATATGCCGAACAGGATAGGAAACAGAGGTGTAAGCAACATTTTTCATGGATGGCTTCTCCTAGTCCTCCAACAAGGGCCCCCCGTTCAGTAGACAAACATTGTGGAATGTTGCAGAAAGAAATGTGACAAATAGCGCAGCCATGATTCCTTGAATATGCATGTCAGAGAGGCGTGTCTGTTGTATGAAAAACCTATTTGTATCTGAACGTTCCACAATGTTTTTGCCATGCTGACTGCAACCCAAGCTAAGTGGAACCAGTCCTTTCACATCTGGGAACGCCTGTCTTTAAAGAGCCTCACCAGCCTTCCTAGAACCTCACGTTCTACCAGATTTACTTAACAAAAGGCCACGTCTCAATAAGTGCTACAGCAATCCTCTGACATGGCCACAAGTGTGGGGGGGAAAGCGGGGGGGGGGGGGGGGGGGGGGGTGACCTTTCCTCTTTTGGCCTCAATTGCGCCTCTATTGTTCCTGCAAGCAAAGGGGGGGAGGGCGATGACATCCGAGTGCACAATCAGACCGACTCCTTGAATTGCCAAACGTTGAATTTCACAACCTGGATCTAAAAAAAACACCTCAGATTAAGATCGTTTAATAGCTCCCATATACAGGGTTATATGTGGGATTGTTGTTCAGATTCAGATTGTTTAATAGTCACATGTACAGGGACTTTGAATTACTCCCCTCTGGGCGTAGGTATAGGGCACCCCTCAGCAGGAAAAATAGAACGAGACAATCATTTGTGCCAGGTGTGATATCCCTCTTAAATAGCTCGGGCAAATGTTCCCATTGACCCCGTAAGGCCAGCAGGCTAGTCTTTGTTTTAAATGTTTTAAATGTTTTATTTCTTATTTCCTACTTATTGGTGCGTGACTGTTATTGAAAGTTGTATTGTCAATCTTGTTTTGTATTTAACGCCACTTTAAATGTGTACATGACACTGCAACAAATTTCCCCATGGGGACAATAAAGTAAGTAAGTAAAGTAAAGCAGGGGGGATTGCAGGACTAGTGAAATAAAATAATAGAAAAAGAACTAGGACTATATACATCATAACAACTGTGGCAGTGATGATACATGCCTACTGGGGTGGAGGCCATAGGAGGAACAGCAGGCAGAGTAAAGACTGTTGAGGGGGTGGGGGGGATGACCATAGGGGGAACAGCAGGCAGAGTAAAGACTGTTGAGGGGGTGGGGGGGATGACCATAGGGGGAACAGCAGGCAGAGTAAAGACTGTTGAGGGGGTGGGGGGGGATGACCATAGGAGGAACAGCAGGCAGAGTAAAGACTGTTGAGGGGGTGGGGGGGGGTGACCATAGGAGGAACAGCAGGCAGAGTAAAGACTGTTGAGGGGGGTGGGGGGGGTGACCATAGGAGGAACAGCAGGCAGAGTAAAGACTGTTGAGGGGGTGGGGGGGATGACCATAGAAGGAACAGCAGGCAGAGTAAAGACTGTTGAGGGGGGTGGGGGGATGACCATAGGAGGAACAGCAGGCAGAGTAAAGACTGTTGAGGGGGAGGGGGGGATGACCATAGGAGGAACAGCAGGCAGAGTAAAGACTGTTGAGGGGGTGGGGGGATGACCATAGGGGGAACAGCAGGCAGAGTAAAGACTGTTGAGGGGGTGGGGGGGGATGACCATAGGGGAACAGCAGGCAGAGTAAAGACTGTTGAGGGGGTGGGGGGGATGACCATAGGGGGAACAGCAGGCAGAGTAAAGACTGTTGAGGGGGTGGGGGGGATGACCATAGGAGGAACAGCAGGCAGAGTAAAGACTGTTGAGGGGGTGGGGGGGATGACCATAGGAGGTAACAGCAGGCAGAGTAAAGACTGTTGAGGGGGTGGGGGGGATGACCATAGGAGGAACAGCAGGCAGAGTAAAGACTGTTGAGGGGTGGGGGGGATGACCATAGGAGGAACAGCAGGCAGAGTAAAGACTGTTGAGGGGTGGGGGGGATGACCATAGGAGGAACAGCAGCAGAGTAAAGACTGTTGAGGGGTGGGGGGGAATGACCATAGGGGGAACAGCAGGCAGAGTAAAGACTGTTGAGGGGGGGGGGGGATGACCATAGGGGGAACAGCCGGCAGAGTTAAAGACTGTTTGAGGGGGGTGGGGGGGATGACCATAGGAGGGAACAGCAGGCAGAGTAAAGACTGTTGAGGGGGTGGGGGGGATGACCATAGGGGGAAAGCAGGCAGAGTAAGAACTGTTGAGGGGGAGGGGGGATGACCATAGGGGGAACAGCATGACCACTGAGGGGGTGGGGGGGGGGTGACCATAGGGGGAACAGCATATCCACTGAGGGGGTGGGGGGGGGTGACCATAGGGGGAACAGCATGACCACTGAGGGGGTGGGGGGGGGGGGGGGGGTGACCATAGGGGGAACAGCAGCATGATTACCTTTAAGTGTGTGTACCTTACTGACTTTAATAGCCTGATCCCAGAAGTTGGCTTCAGCACATACAGATCTGGAATCAGGCTTTTATGATACCTCTCAATCTCATTTCCATCAGGATTTAATGATGCCTTCTATCTCACATTCCCAGGAGCGTTTATGATCCCATTCCTGATCCTGCTGGTTCTGGAGGGGATTCCACTGCTGCACCTGGAGTTCGCTATCGGACAGCGCCTCAGGAGCGGCAGTGTGGGAGTGTGGACGGCCATTAACCCATATCTGACTGGTGTTGGTGACTCCAACGGAAACAGTAGAATACCCTGTGTACTGCGGTTAGAGAAGCACGTGGTTAGCTGACCACAAAACGTCCAACGTCAAAAAGAAAGTTCTGCAGTCTTCAAAGTGAGGTTATCATGTTTGCAGAGTGTGTATCTATCTTCTCCTTCTTATGGCCAGCATCCCAAATGGCACCCTATTCCCTACATAGTGAACTATCTTCGACCAGAGGCCTATGAGTCCTGGTCGAAAGTAGTATAGGGCTCTGGTTAAAAGTACCACATACGTTGCCATTTGGGATACAGCCATAACAGACCTTACCTCACTGACATGTAGTGATATCTGGAATAACACCTCAGGCAGAGGCTGGTGGCAGGCGCTATAGGAGGACGGGATCATTGTAATGGCTGGAATGGATTAATGAAACGTATCAAACACATCAAACATATGGAAACCATTCCAGCCATTACAATGAACCCGTCCTCCTATAGCTCTTCCCACCAGCCACCACTGGCATGTGGTGATGTCTGGAACGATTGTGTCCTGCAGGCGTCGCCTCCTTGTCAGTCTCCTTCCTGGTGGGCATGTACTACAACACTATCATCGCCTGGGTGATGTGGTACTTCTTCAACTCCTTCCAGAGCCCTCTGCCGTGGAGTCAGTGTCCTGTCAACGCCAACCTGACGGGTGTGTTCATATTCTGCATGGATTTAAAGTCACAGTTCACTACAAACTCTAATTTAGCTTATATTCTGAGGCATCTAGATGGATCTACAGAAGTCATTATCAGGCTAAATGCTGTTGGACTGGCCTTTGGGTGTAACAGTGTTTTTGCCGCCCCCTGTAGCTCTGGTATCAGAATGCGCCCGGAGTTCCCCAGTGGATTATTTCTGGTACAGAGACACCCTCAACACGTCCGCATCCATAGGGGACTCTGGAGGACTGCAGTGGTGGATGGTGTTGTGTCTACTGTGTGCCTGGCTGGTGTTGTACGTCTGCTGCCTTCGTGGCATTGAGACAACTGGCAAGGTACGATACCCCGTCCCATTCAGACAACTGGCAAGGTACGATACCCCGTCCCATTCAGACAACTGGCAAGGTACGATACCCCGTCCCATTCAGACCACTGGCAAGGTACGATACCCCGTCCCATTGAGACCACTGACAAGGTACGATACCCAGTCCCATTGAGACCACTGGCAAGGTACGATACCCCGTCCCATTCAGACTACTGGTAAGGTACGATACCCATTCCCATTGAGACCACTGGTAAGGTACGATACCCCGTCCCATTCAGACTACTGGCAAGGTACGATACCCCGTCCCATTCAGACTACTGGTAAGGTACGATACCCATTCCCATTGAGACCACTGGTAAGGTACGATACCCCGTCCCATTCAGACTACTGGTAAGGTACGATACCCATTCCCATTGAGACAACTGGTAAGGTACGATACCCATTCCCATTGAGACCACTGGTAAGGTACGATACCCATTCTCATTGAGACCACTGGTAAGGTACGATACCCATTCCCATTGAGACCAGTGGCAAGGTACGATACCCCGTCCCATTCAGACTACTGGTAAGGTACGATACCCATTCCCATTGAGACAACTGGTAAGGTACGATACCCATTCCCATTGAGACCACTGGTAAGGTACGATACCCATTCTCATTGAGACCACTGGTAAGGTACGATACCCATTCCCATTGAGACCAGTGGCAAGGTACGATACCCATTCCCATTCAGACTACTGGCAAGGTACGATACCCATTCCCATTCAGACAACTGGCAAGGTACGATACCCAGTCCCATTCAGACTACTGGCAAGGTACGATACCCATTCCCATTGAGACCACTGGCAAGGTACGATACCCATTCCCATTCAGACTACTGGCAAGGTACGATACCCATTCCCATTCAGACAACTGGCAAGGTACGATACCCAGTCCCATTCAGACTACTGGCAAGGTACGATACCCATTCCCATTACGACCACTGGCAAGGTACGATACCCATTCCCATTGAGATCACTGGTAAGGTACGATGCCCATTCCCATTACGACCACTGGTAAGGTACGATACCCAGTCCCATCTAGAATACTGGTAAGGTACGATACCCAGTCCCATCTAGAATACTGGTAAGGTACGATGCCCATTCCCATTGAGATCACTGGCAAGGTACGATACCCAGTCCCATCTAGAATACTGGTAAGGTACGATACCCAGTCCCATTGAGATCACTGGTAAGGTACGATACCCAGTCCCATCTAGAATACTGGTAAGGTACGATGCCCATTCCCATTGAGATCACTGGCAAGGTACGATACCCAGTCCCATTGAGAAGACTGGCAAGGTACGATACCCAGTCCCATTGAGAAGACTGGCAAGGTACGATACACTGTCTCTTCGGGTTCTGTTCAGATAGGATTCTAGACTTAGTTTGAGGTGTTTTCCACAATATGGTACTTTTTTACATTTCAGTGCTATTTAGTGGATTGAAATGTAGTTTATAGTTCACCTTCTCCAGTGGACTATCATCCATTACAAGGTGGTTCTGCCCTCTCTGTCTTCACAGGCAGTGTACATAACATCCACTCTGCCCTACGTGGTGCTCACCATCTTCCTGATCAGAGGGCTGACTCTCAAAGGTTCTCTGGATGGAATAAAGTTCCTCTTCACACCTGATGTAAGTACATCCTCTCAAAGTGATAGTTCACCCCAAAAATGTTAGTTTCTCAGATGTTTTTCAGGCCTGAGTTCCCTTTGTTGTGTGCGGTATACATTGATGATTGTATTCTCATAGTTGAATGAGTTGATGAACCCGTCCACCTGGCTGGATGCAGGTGCCCAGGTGTTCTACTCTTTCTCCTTGGCCTTCGGAGGTCTCATCTCATTCTCCAGCTACAACTCTGTGCAGTAAGTAACCGCAGATTTATCGACGACTTCGTACCAAATGGGACACCATTCCCTACTGCGTAGTGCACTAATTTAGATAGAGCCCTACGAGCCCTGGTCAAAACATAGTTCACTGTGTCATAGGAAATAGGTTGCCATTTGGGACTCAATTCTTTATTTAGACATAAGGTAAAGTCTATCTTGACTCTTTCGATGAACTCCACTCTTCTGTTTCTCCAGCAACAACTGTGAGCAGGACGCCGTCATCATCTCCATCATCAACGGCTTCACGTCGGTCTACGCTGCTACAGTCATCTACTCTATCATTGGCTTCAGGGCCACAGAGAGGTTCGACGACTGTCTGGGAGGGTACGTGTTTTCAGTCTGGTTACGTTGAGCTCTGAGCTTGCTTTTTTAGGCCAGGACTTAGGTTTAGTCTGTGTCCGGGAAAAACCGGCACTGAATGGACGGCCAGAACTGTCTCAATGACAATGATCACATTCGTAATTCTGTTTTGCTTGTCTTTGATATTCTGCACTGTGCATTGCTAGCAAATTCTAGCACGTAGTGGCCTTGTGGTTTTTGTGTATTATTGTTGTGTTGTGTATTATTGATTATTGTTGTGTTGTGTATTATTGTTGTGTTGTGTATTATTGTTGTGTTGTGTATTATTGATTATTGTTGTGTTGTGTATTATTGTTGTGTTGTGTATTATTGATTGTTGTTGTGTATTATTGTTGTGTTGTGTATTATTGTTGTGTTGTGTATTTTCAAGATTCTTGGCAAATGGTTCAACCTGAAAACAGTTTGTACTCGACCTACCTCCAGCTCTGTGTGTTGTTGTCCCATCCAGAAACATCCTGGCCCTGCTGAACGCTTTCAGCCTTCCTGAGGGCAACATCACAGAAGGCAACTATGCAGAATCCCTACAGAATCTAAACGGCACCTTCCCAGAGATCGTCCGGGGTCTGAACCTCAAGACCTGCGACTTGCAAACTTTCCTCAGTCAGGTATTGAAACGTCAAACTTTCCTCAGTCAGGTATTGAAATTGCAAACTTTCTCAGTGACGTACGGTCTCCAGATCAAAAGCCTTTTACCCATTTCAATTGCCGCCATGTTGGTCATGGAACATTTGGTGCCAACATGGAGAATAGTTTGCCAAACTCTTACAGTTTATCTATGGATCTGGTTTTAGTCATGTTTGCCCTGATGGTGAGTCCTTGTCTTTCAATAGGGTGTGGAGGGAACCGGTCTGGCCTTCATCGTGTTCACAGAGGCCATCACCAAGATGCCGGTCTCTCCTCTCTGGTCCATCCTGTTCTTCATCATGCTCTTCTGTCTGGGACTGTCCACCATGTTTGGCAGCATAGAGGGGGTCGTGGTGCCCCTTCAGGATCTCAACATCTTCCCTAAACGGTGGCCTAAGGAGGCGATCACTGGTAAGTACCTCGGCTTGAATCAATTGAGACCAAGTATCAATGGACGCATGATGCAATATACATTTCCAATGCAGCGGTCTCCAACTCCTGTCCTGGAGAGCTTAGTGCTGGGCTGGAACAAACACCTGCACATCCTGTAGCTCTCCAGGACTAGAAATGAAGACCACTGGTTAAATGTGCCTTGAAGAAATAACGCAGTGTTGATGTGTCTTCTGTTTCAGGTATTGTCTGTCTGGTGTCATTCATTGTTGCCCTGATATTTGCTCAGAGTTCCGGTAACTACTGGCTGGCCTTGTTCGACAGCTTCGCCGGCTCCATCCCTCTCCTAGTCATCGCCTTCTGTGAGATGGTAGCTGTGGTCTACATCTATGGCATAGACAGGTGAGTGTTCACCTCCTCTTCGTCCCCGATCCACCCCAACTTTTTGAGGCATCACCCACCACAGAAATCAATCCAAGTAGCTGTGAATTTGTGGCAACAGCTAACTAGCTAACGTGTGTTAATCTTTAATGATGCCAAAGTTGGTAGCCTCGTTAAACCAGCCCTGATCTTGCAAGCTCACATTCTGTTTCACGTGATATGTGAAGTGAAACAAAACGTGAGCGTCCAAGATCAGGCTGGTTTAACGAGGCTACAAAGTTGGCATGTAATGTAGTATCCAAAGGTTAATGCTGCACCTAATTGCTTCTATTCCTGATGAGCGTGAAACAGTGAACAGTTCAAGAGAGGTCTGAAGCTGATGCAAACGTTTTGTCTTTCCACGTCCTTAAGCTCCAGCCTCTCCAACATGTCTATTTGTCTGTATGTGTGTGTATCAGAGGAGTTGGGCACAGCAGGAGACAAATGTCCTTCTTCTATGAGTTAATTAAGTCTTCTTCTTCTTCTTCTTCTTCTTCTTCTTCTTCTTCTTCTTCTTCTTCTTCTTCTTCTTCTACAGGTTTAACAAGGATATAGAGTTCATGATCGGTCACAAGCCCAACATCTTCTGGCAGGTGACCTGGAGGTTCATCAGCCCTTTAATCGTCTTAGTCATCTTCATCTTCTACTTCATTACCAAAGTCAGCTCCAATGTCACCTACATCGCCTGGAATCCAAGCTCGGTATGTTCCTCCTCTAATGTTCCTCCTCTATATGTTCCTCCTCTCATTTCTCCTCTATATGTTCCTCTCTACATGTTCCTCCTCTACATGTTCCTCTTCTACATGTTCCTCTTCTACATTTCCTCTTCTCTAATGTTCCTCTTACAGTTCACTCCTCTACATGTTCCATCCTCTACATGTTCCTCTCTACATGTTCCTCTTCTACATGTTCCTCTCTACATGTTCCTCCTCTACATGTTCCTCCTCTACATGTTCCTCCTCTACATGTTCCTCCTCTACATGTTCCTCCTCTACATGTTCCTCCTCTACATGTTCCTTCTACTGTTCTCACATGTTCTCCTCTACATGTTCCTCTCTACATGTTCCTCCTCTACATGTTCCTCTCTCTCACATGTTTCCTTCTACATGTTCTCTCTACATTCCTCCTCTACATGTTCTCTCTAATGTTCCTCCTCTACATGTTCCTCCTCTACATGTTCATCCTTCCTCCTACATGTTCCTCTCTACATGTTCCTCTCTCTACATGTTCCTCCTCTACATGTTCCTCTTCTACATGTTCCTCTCTACATGTTCCTCCTCTACATGTTTCCTCCTCTTACATGTTCCTCCTCTACATGTTCCTCTCACATGTTCCTTCCTTTCCTCTACATGTTTCCTCCTCTACATGTTCTCCTCTACATGTTTCCTCCTCTACATGTTCCTCCTCTACATGTTCCTCTCTACATGTTCTCCTCTACATGTTCCTCTCTACATGTTTCCTTCTACATGTTCCTCCTCTACATGTTCCTCCTCTACATGTTCCTCTCACATGTTCCTCCTCTACATGTTTCCTCTACATGTCCTCTTACATGTTCCTCCTCTACATGTTCTTCTACATTCCTCTACATGTTCCTCCTCTACATGTTCCTCCTCTACATGTTCCTCCTCTACATGTTCCTCCATCCCTCTACATGTTCCTCCTCTACATGTTCTCCTCTACATGTTCTCCTCTCATTCTTCACATGTTCCTCTCATTCCGTTCCTCCTCTACATGTTCCTCCTCTACATGTTCCTCCTCTACATGTTCCTCCTCTACATTTCCTCCTCTACATTCAAATCAGGGGCCGTATTGATATCGTATTGGGCGTCTCACAATAGGAGTGCTGATCCAGGATCAGTTTGACCTTTTACATCACATTGAATAACATTAAATGGACAGGGGGGACATGATCCTAGATCAGCCCTCCTGCTCTGAGACACTTAATGAATATGGACCCAGTTATTTTCCCCCAAGAAGATAACCTATTGTGTGACTGAACACTAGGTGCTTCTAGACTACGCCACCCCTTTGGATTTAAACAGGAGCCATGGGGAACTAACTGACTACCTGTCACATATAGTCAATACTTATTTCTAGATATTAATAATAATAATTGCTAGCATTTTGATAGCATTTATATGGCGCCTTTCCAGTTTTCAAACCGCTGTAAGGGGGGGAAACTCCCCTCATCCACCGCCAATGTTTAGCATTCTCAAGGACTTGTTTTCTCATCTCTGTGTTCCGCAGGCTGACTTCCCCACCCTGGAGGTGTTGGAGTATCCCGCTTGGATCTACGCCATCATCTTCATCCTAGCAGGAATCCCCAGTCTGCTGGTGCCAGGCATGGCCATATTCAAACTCATCCAGACATGCTGCTGCAACAAAAATGTCTATAGAGCAGAAGTCGACACTGTCTCTGCCAAAGTTCAGATGGAAATTTCGTAGAATACCACGCCGCCAACATCATGTGGGACAACACTATGTTGGAGAATAAAAAGGAGAGTAAGAATCCAAAATGATTTGTCCAAAAATGTTTGGGGTCAATTCCATTTTAATTCAGTCAATTCAGGAAGTTTAAGAATTTAAAACAAATCTAAATTGAAACTGTTTATAAACGGGCACTTATCAACCTACATTTACCAAATTGAAATGGGATTGACCGTAACCCTTTTGGTTATGATGCAAAGGAACCGATTTAAGGACAGCCGGGAATATATCTGAAATTGGCCGCAATGTCTCTTGATCATTCCACAAAGACCACACCAGTGCAATGAAACTGCTAGTTGTATTTATCTATGTGATAATCTAGAATTTCACTGGCATTTCTGTTGTGTGTTTTATTTATTATTTTGTTGTGGGTTTCTGATGCAACCAACATTCCATCGGAAAATGTTATAATTGTGCTATTTTTGCTGTCTGAAAGTCTAACGACATGTTCTTATGAATTATGGTGCAGAAAGTACAGATTAATTTATATTAATATACTAGACTTTCATAACATGTTTAGAACAAATATTAAATCTGATTAAAACAAAAAAAATGTGCCTATGTCTACATTAAAGGATGTGTGAGTTTCTGTCTTAATGGAACACAGGACACCATTGTATGTTACACAGCACAATGCTAATACATGTAGCAGATACATGGTGTCATCTAATTGTGTACACCAGAACAGCGGTTCCCAACTCCAGTCCTCCAGTACCCCCAACAGCACAATGCTAGTACATGTAGCACAGGACTGCCCAACCCTGTTCCTGGAGAGCTACCGTCCTGTAGGTTTTTGCTCCAACCCTAATCTAGCACACCTGATTCTAATAATTAGCAGGTTGATAAGATGAATCAGGTTAGTAACACCTGGGGTTGGAGCGAAAACCTACAGGAGGGTAGCTCTCCAGGAACAGGGTTGGGCAACCCTGATGTAGCAGATACACGGTATCCATCTATTTGTGTACTCTAGAACATACCTGATTCAACTTGAGGGCCTGATGATTAGTTGACAAGTGTAATCAGGTGTGCGTGTAAAAAAATTAAAACGTGTACTGCTGGGGATACTGGAGGACCGGAGTTGGGATCCACTGCACTAGAAAACTAGCTATCTGCATCTGTACATGGTGCTGCAGAACACTACAGAACGCAGGTTATGTAACCAATGCAATAAACCACCTCAGCCCTACGTCTTTCTGTTTATGGGAAGTGTTCAAAGGTACACGTCAGCCCTACGTCTTTCTGTTTATGGGAAGTGTTCAAAGGTACACGTCAGCCCTACGTCTTTCTGTTTATGGGAAGTGTTCAAAGGTACACGTCAGCCCTACGTCTTTCTGTTTATGGGAAGTGTTCAAAGGTACACGTCAGCCCTACGTCTTTCTGTTTAAATCAAATCCAATTTCAATTGTCACGCTTTGTAAACAACAGGTGTGACAGTGAAATGCTTACTTACGGGCCCTTCCCAACAATGCAGAACACAATACAAAAAATTACAAGAATATATATATTTTTTAAATGGTAACACGAGGAATAAATACAGCAATGAGCAATGAGCAATGATAGCTCGGCTATAAACACGGGGTACCAGCACTGAGTCGATGTACAGGTGTACGAGGTAATTGAGGTGGATATGTACAGCGCCTTCAGAAAGTATTCATACCCCTTGACTTATTCCACATGTTATCTGTTACAGCCTGAATTTGAAATGGATTAATATAATTTATTTCTCACCTACACCTAGATTTACATAAGTATTGACACCACTGAGTCAACACATGTTAGAATCACCTTTGGCAGCGATTCCAGCTGTGAGTCTTTCTGGGTAAGTCTCTAAGAGCTTTGCACAGCTGGATTGTACAATATTTGCCCACTATTCATCATGCAAGACTACAAATCCCAGCAAGCTCCTGCACGTCATCTCTAGCTGACACCTTTGCTAACAGGTATTGTGTCAATTTAAAACTTGCACAAGACAGTTCACAGAATTGTCAATTTTAAAGAAATGTAGCTAATTTATTAATTACAAAATTTAGCTAACATGATTATAATTATGATATTGTGATATATATATATATATTTTTGAACCTTTATTTAACTAGACAAGTCAGTTAACAACAAATTATTATTTACAGTGACGGACTACCAAGAGGCAAAAGGCCTCCTACGGGGACGGGGGCTGGGATTAAAAATAGAAATAGAAATGTAGGACAAAACACACATTATGACAGGGGAGACACCACAACACTACATAAAGATCACGACAAGAGAGACACCACAACGCTAAAAAAAGATCACGACAAGCGAGACACCACAACGCTACATAAAGAGAGACCTAAGACAACATCACAGCATGATAGCTATACATTAGATAGTTAATCCAGAGATTCTTACCTTTGCCTCGATTCGGCAGTCTCATCCAGACCATCATGGCATTTGTAGTTCTTTATGATAGCCACATTAGCGGCTAATTAGCATTTCATTTTTTGGGGGCAAATACAGGTGAATATATTGATAAAAGTCACCTTCTCCTAGAGAGATTTACATGGTTATCAAAACATCCCGCCAGGGTAAGCCTACACGAAACACAGCCCTTATTTTAAGTGTTTCGAAAATCCCTTATGGGAAAAATTTATGGTGGAAAAATGATTGGAACCATTGGAACCAACCCTGGATGGCGCCGGAGAAGATGGCTGCCGTTTTACAGCCCTCTAACCAATTGTACTATTATGTGTGTTTTTTCATGTTGTTTGTAATTTATTCTGTACATAATGTTTCTGCCATTGTCTCTTATAACCAAAAAGAGCTTCTGGATATCAGGACAGCGATTACTCACCTCGTATTGGACGAAGATTCTTTCTTCAACGAGGCGGCCGCGAAGGATATCCTACAGACACCCGACAAGGCCCAAATCCCTGTCATTCGCATGAGGAAGAGATGGAGATATCGTGGACGTAGGTCGGGGTGCCTTGTAAGGATCTGACGGCGAGCGAGTAAACTGCCTCTCCCATCAATCCTATTAGCCAATCTTCAATCATTGGAAAATAAATTAGATGACCTACGATTACGCTTATCCTACCAACGGGACATTAAAAACTGTAATATCTTATGTTTCACCGAGTCGTGGCTGAACGACGACATGGACAACATACAGCTAGCGGGCTATACGCTACATCGGCAGGATAGAACGGCTGACTCCGGTAAGACAAGGGGTGGCGGTCTGTGTATATTTGTAAACAACAGCTGGTGCACAAAATCAAATACTAAGGAAGTCTCAATGTTTTGCTCGCCTGAGGTAGAGTACCTTATGATAAGCTGTAGACCACACTATTTACCAAGAGAGTTTTCATCTATATTTTTCATAACTGTCTATTTACCACCACAAACCAATGCTGGCATTAAGATTGCACTCAATGAGCTGTATAAGGCCATAACTAAACAGGAAAACGCTCATTCAGAGTCAGCGCTCCTAGTGGCAAGGGACTTTAATGCAGGGAAACTTAAATCCGTTCTACCTCATTTCTACCAGAATGTTAAATATGCAACCAGAGGGAAAAAAACAGTAGACCACCTTTACTCCACACACAGACAAAGCTCTCCCTCGCCCTCCATTTGGCAAATCTGACCATAACTCTATCCTCCTGATTACTGCTTATAAGCAAAAACTAAAGCAGGAAGCTTGGCTAATAAAAAATGGTCAGATGACGCAGATGCTAAACTACAGGACTGTTTTGCTAGCACAGACTGGAACATGTTCCGGGATTCTTCAGATAGCATTGAGGAGTACACCACATCAGTCACTGGTTTCATCAATAAGTGCATCGATGCCGTCGTCCCCACAGTAACCATACGTACATACCCCAACCAGAAGCCATGGATTACAGGCAACATCCGCACTGAGCTAAAGGGTAGAGCTGCCGCTTTCAAGGAGCGGGACTCTAACCCGGACGCTTATAAGAAATCCCGCTATGCCCTCTGACGAACCATCAAACAGGCAAAGAGTCAATACAGGACTAAGATTGAATCGTACCACACCGGCTCTGATGCTCGTCGGATGTGGCAGGGCTTGAAAACTATTACAGACTACAAAGGGAAGCACAGCCGCGAGCTGCCCAGTGAAACAAGCCTACCAGACGAGCTAAACTACTTCTATGCTCGCATTGAGGCAAGCAACACTGAAGCATGCATGAGAGCACCAGCTGTTCTGGATGACTATGTGATCACGCTCTCCGTAGCCGATGTGAGTAAGACTTTTAAGCAGGTCAACATTCACAAGGCCGCAGGGCCAGACGGATTACCAGGACCTGTACTCCGAGCATGTGCTGACCAACTGGCAAGTGTCTTCACCGACATTTTCAACATGTCCCCTGACTGAGTCTGTAATACCAACATGTTTCAAGCAGACCACCATAGTCCCCGTGCCCAAGGACACTAAGATAACCTGCCTAACTGACTACCGACCCGTAGCACTGACGTCTGTAGCCATGAAGTGCTTTGAAAGGCTGGTCATGGCTCACATCAACACCATTATCCCAGAAACCCTAGACCCACTCCAATTTGCATACCGCCCCAACAGATCCACAGATGATGCAATCTCTATTGCACTCCACACTGCCCTTTCCCACCTGAACAAGAGGAACACCTACGTGAGAATGCTATTCATTGACTACAGCTCTGCATTCAACACCATAGTGCCCTCTAAGCTCATCACTAAGCTTAGGACCCTGGGACTAAACACCTCCCTCTGCAACTGGATCCTGGACTTCCTGACGGGCCGGCCCCCAGGTGGTAAGGGTAGGTAACAACACATCTGCCACACTGATCCTCAACACAGGGGCCCCTCAGGGGTGCGTGCTCAGTCACCTTCTGTACTCCCTGTTCACCCATGACTGCATGGCCAGGCACGACTCCAACACCATCATTAAGTTTGCAGACGACAAGACGGTGGTAGGCCTGATCACCGACGATGGTGAGACAGCCTATAGGGAGGAGGTCAGAGACCTGGCAGTGTGGTGCAAGGACAACAACCTCTCCCTCAACGTGAGCAAGACAAAGGAGATGATCGTGGACTACAGGAAACGGAGGGCAGAAACACGCCCCCATTCACATCGACGGGGCTGTAGTGGAGTGGGTCGAGAGTTTCAAGTTCCTTGGTGTCCACATCACCAACAAACTATCATGCTCCTGTAGTGTCGAGTCAACGTTGCTAATTATGCTGTGCGACAAGGAGGACCCGCTGACGCTGTATTTTCATCATAAGGTTTATTCATAACAAAGGGTTACAGCGTCGATTTACAGATACCTGCAGATACCCGGAGAATAATCGCCCCATCTCTAATATGATTATTCTGACCTCTTCTGTCCCAACTGTGGTATATATGCTATGTAATCTGATATGGGTGTTCCCCTACAGACCAATCCCAGTAGTCCACACACCAGACTTCCTCTGTTCTATGGTGTGTCACCACAAAACTACTCCCTCTAACACTGAATAAACCTCCTCTCAGGTTCCACTTGAAAACATTAGCAAAGTCATAATTCATCATACACTACACTCCAAACACACCAAGATATTACCTGCACATTGACTCGGTACTGGCACTCCTTGTATATAGCCTCATTATTGTTATTTTATTGTGTTACAATTTTATTGTATTTTTATTATTTGCACATTTTTATTATTTATTATTATATCTGTATTGTTGGTTAAGGGCTTGTAAGTACGCATTTTCACGGTAAAGTCTACACCTGTTGTATTCGGCGCATGTGACAAATAAAAGTTGATTTGAATTCCAGTCTTGCCTTCCCAGGAGCTAACCAAAAACGAACAATGTATTTCAGAGACAGTAAGTGTTCATTTTTTAAAAATGTTTCCAATAACGATTTGGAGAATAAATATAATTGACATGTTGTCAACAATCCTTTGATTCTAAGCCAACCCTGCTTGTTTTGCTCCACAACCTGTCTATAGCTAACGTTCAGTTATTTATTAAAGATGATCTGGATAGCGAGCTAGCTAACATTAGCCATAATAAGTCAAACAGATCGTTCTTGTCTTTTAATATTTCCACAATATCTATCATGCTAAATCATGTTGAATGCATTTGCAGCAGATTCAAAAATGGACATTTCAGATCAACCAAACGTCCTTCTCATCTCGTCTTAGCAGTTGTCATTTTAGATCCAGACGGGGCTTTAACCTTTTACTGCAGTGGGCTGAATCAGGGTCACACAGGGTGTTTCTTGGAAGTCTTAAACAAAACTACTTTGAAACTAAAGTATACACCTCATACACATGGTTATGGGCAACAACAAAAAAATACACTTGTACCATGTCAGACATAGAGTTGAAATGTATACAATTTAGATTTTGCATCCCAATATTACACTTTATATACATCACAGAAGACTGAAATATAACAAAACTGTTTGACATAGAAACACCTGCTTTACGGTATTTTTTAATTATTTATAATAATATTCCACCCATGAGGGCAATTTGGTCATTTGACTGCAAGAAAAGGGCTACAAAGTTTGACAATCGCCCCTTGCAGGTCTGGTGTCAGAATGCGCACAGAGCACCTCCGTGGATTACTTCTGGTACAGAGAGAGACTGAACACCTCTACAGCCATATATATATCTGCAGGCCTCCAGTGGTGGATGGTGCTAGCCCTGGTGTCTGCCTGGACTCTGCTCTACGTCTGCTGTATCAAGGGGGATCGAGACTACTGGCAAGGTACCAGCTCAGCTTTACTCTCTCCCTGCATGCCAGGGAGGTCAAATTCCAGCAGAATATTGGCCCTGCCTTGGGAATGGTGCCAGTTGTCTCGCTAATGTTTATTTCTCTTGCACTCTCAAAGGTTCTCTGGATGGGGTCAAATTCCTCTTCACACCAGATGTAAGCATTGACTTTATGTACTACCCATTTACACGTTGTCATGATACTAATCCGTCACTTTGTGTTTTCTATTTCTCCAGGTTGATGAACCCGTCCACCTGGCTGGATGCAGGTGCCCAGGTGTTCTACTCCTTCTCCTTCGGAGGACTCATCTCCTTCTCCACCTACAACTCTGTACAGTAAGTAACTCCTTCTTACAACGTTTTATTAACACCATTTTATTGAGGCTGCATCCTAATCCATGCATAGAGTAACTCATAGTTGCTCATAGAAGTTATACCAATGGATCACAAGTGATCATATTGGTTGACAACGCTGTCAAGTATCTGTCAAAATTGGATTTAATTAATGGGGATTAGAGGAAGAGAATCAAATGAGTTTGATATATTGGTCATACTTCCATGTGCTTTCTTCCTAGTAACATCAAGGCCCTGCTGAATGTAATCTCTTCCTAGTAACATCAAGGCCCTGCTGAATGTAATCTCTTCCTAGTAACATCATGGCCCTGCTGAATGTGATCTCTTCCTAGTAACATCATGGCCCTGCTGAATGTAATCTCTTCCTAATAACATCATGGCCCTGCTGAATGTGATCTCTTCCTAGTAACATCATGGCCCTGCTGAATGTGATCTCTTCCTAGTAACATCATGGCCCTGCTGAATGTAATCTCTTCCTAGTAACATCAAGGCCCTGCTGAATGTAATCTCTTCCTAGTAACATCATGGCCCTGCTGAATGTAATATCTTCCTAGTAACATCATGGCCCTGCTGAATGTGATCTCTTCCTAGTAACATCATGGCCCTGCTGAATGTAATCTCTTCCTAGTAACATCATGGCCCTGCTGAATGTGATCTCTTCCTAGTAACATCATGGCCCTGCTGAATGTGATCTCTTCCTAGTAACATCATGGCCCTGCTGAATGCATTTGATCTTCCTGAGCACCACGTCACTGTGAACAACTATGAGGAAGTTCTCCAAGGTCTCAACGGCACATTTACAGACATCATCCAATGATTAAACCTGAAGACCTGCGATCTGCAGCAGTTTCTCAGTGAGGTAGTGAAATTGCATGATGTCCAATCCAAGACATATCATTTCTTCCAAGGGACACTAGAACTTAAGTCGGTACTGTGTTTGCTGTAGGGTGTGGAGGGAACTGGTCTGGCGTTCATCGTGTTCACAGAGGCCATCACCAAGATGCCGGTCTCTCCTCTCTGGTCCATCCTGTTCTTCATAATGCTCTTCTGTCTGTGACTGTCCACCATGTTTGGCAGCATAGAGGGGGTCGTGGTGCCCCTTCAGGATCTTAACATCTTCCCCAAGTGGCCCAAAGAAGTGTTGACAGGTTAGTGCCATACAGTAGCTGAGATACTTCTTCTTCTTCTTCTTCTTCTTCTTCTTCTTCTTCTTCTTCTTCTTCTTCTTCTTCTTCTTCTTCTTCTTCTTCTTCTTCTTCTTCTTCTTCTTCTTCTTCTTCTTCTTCTTCTTCTTCTTCTTACTTCTTCTTCTTCTTCTTCTTCTTCTTCTTCTTCTTCTTCTTCTTCTTCTTCTTCGCTGCATTCAATTGAAATGACTTCAAACCAAGGCATTGTCTCATCATCATAGTTGTTCAGGGATCGAGATCACAAGCTTGTCATTGACCTTGGTGGGATCGTCTAAACAGTGAGGAGGAGCACCCTTGGAAGAACCTAAGGTTGACAACGTTTAACAAACGTCTTCTGTTTTGTCTTCTTTCAGGTGTGACTTGTATTGTTGGATTCACCATCGCTCTCATATCCACCCAACTACTGGCTGGCTCTGTTCCACAGCGTCGCCGGCTCCATCCCTCTCCTAGTCATCGCCTTCTGTGAGATTGTGTGTCTGTTGTTTACATCTACGGGATAGACAGGATTGTTTTATGATGGTCATACCAAGGATAATTTAACTCTTTGATTTTGAATTTCAGGACCTCTGCAGGTATAAAGAAATATATATACAGTAGCAGTGAAAAGTTTGGACACACCTATTCATTCAAGGGTTTTTCTTTATTTTTTTTACTATTTTCTACATTCTAGAATAGTAGTGAAGACATCAAAACTATGAAATAACACATATGGAATCATGTAGTAACCAAAAAAGTGTTAAACAAATCAGAATATATTTTATGTTTGAGTTTCTTCAAAGTAGCCACCGTTTGCCTTGATGACAGCTTTGCACACTCCTGGCATTCTCTCAACCAGCTACATGAGGTAGTCACCTGGGATGCATTTCAATTAACAGGTGTGCCTTGCTAAATGTCAATTTGTGGAATTTCTTTCCTTCTTAATGCATTTGAGCCAATCAGTTGTAGGGGTGGTTTACAGAAGATAGCCCTATTTGGTAAAAGACCAAGTCCATATTATGCCAAGAACAGCTAAAAAAAGCAAAGAGAAACGACAGTCCATCATTACTTTAAGACATGAAGGTCAGTCAATACGGAACATTTCAAGAACTTTTAAAGTTTCTTCAAGTGTAGTCGCAAAAGCCATCAAGCGCTATGATGAAACTGGCTCTCATGAGGACCGACACAGGAAAGGAAGACCCAGAGTTACCTCTGCTGCAAAGGATAAGTTCATTAGAGTTACCAGCCTCAGAAATTGCAGCCCAAATAAATGCTTCACAGAGTTCAAGTAACAGACACATCAACATCAACTGTTCAGAGGAGACAGCATGAATCAGGCCTTCATGGTCAAATTGCTGCAAAGAAACAACTACTAAAGGACACCAATAATAAGAAGAGACCTGCTTGGGCCAAGAAACACGAGCAATGGACATTAGACTGGTGGAAATTTGTCCTTTGGTCTGGAGTCCAAATTGGAGATTTGTGGTTCCAACCGCAGTGTCTTTGTGAGACACAGTGTGGGTGAACGGATGATCTCCGCATGTGTATTTCCCACCGTAAAGCATGAAGGAGGAGGTTTTATGGTGTGGGGGTGCTTTGCTGGTGACACTCTCTGTGATTTATTTAGAATTTAAGGCACACTTAACCAGCATGGCTACCACAGCATTCTGCAGCGATACGTCATCTCATCTGGTTTGGGCTTAGTGGGACTATCATTTGTTTTTCAACAGGACAATGACCCAACACACCTTCAGGCTGTTTAAGGGCTATTTTATCAAGAAGGAGAGTGATGAAGTGCTGCATCAGATGACCTGGCCTCCACAATCACCCAATCTCATCCAAATTGAGATGGTTTGGGATAAGAGACTTTGCTTGGGCCAAGAAACACGAGCAATTGACATTTGACTGGTGGAAATGTGTCCTTTGGTCAGGAGTCCAAATTGGAGATTTGTGGTTCCAACCGCCGTGTCTTTGTGAGACACAGTGTGGGTGAACGGATGATCTCTGCATGTGTATTTCCCACCGTAAAGCATGGAGGAGGAGGTGTTATGGTGTGGGGGTGCTTTGCTGGTGACACTCTCTGTGATTTATTTAGAAATCAATTCACACTTAACCACCATAGCTACCACAGTATTCTGCAGCGATACGTCATCTCATCTGGTTTGGGCTCAGTGGGACTATCATTTGTTTTTCAACAGGACAATGACCCAACACACCTTCAGGCTGTTTAAGGGCTATTTTATCAAGAAGGAGAGTGATGGAGTGCTGCATCAGATGACCTGGCCTCCACAATCACCCGACCTCTAAGCAATTGAGATGGTTTGGGATGAGTTGGACCTCAGAATGAAGGAAAAGCAGCAGACAAGTGCTCAGCATATGTGGGAACTCCGTCAAGACTGTTGGAAAAGCATTCCAGGTGAAGCTGGTTGAGAGAATGTGAGTGTGCAAAGCTGTCATCAACGCAAAGGGTGGCTACTTTGAAGAATCTGAAATATATAATATATTTTAATTGTTTTAACACTTTCTTGCTTACTACATGATTCCATATGTGTTATTTCATAGTTTTGATGTCTTCACTATTATTCTACAATGTAGAAACACAAAGGAGTGGCTCAAGATGAAGCACATTAAGGTCCTGGAGTGGCCTAGCCAGTCTCCAGACCTTAATCCCATAGAAAATCTGTGGAGGGAGCTGAATGTTCGAGTTGCCAAACGTCAGCCTCGAAACCTTAATGACTTGGAGAAGATCTGCAAAGAGGAGTGGAACAAAATCCCTCCTGAGATGTGTGCAAACCTGGTGGCCAACTACAAGAAACGTCTGACCTCTGTGATTGCCAACAAGGGTTTTGCCACCAAGTACTAAGTCATGTTTTGCAGAGGGGTCAGATAGTTATTTCCCTCATTAAAATGCAAATCAATTTATAACATCTTTGACATGCGTTTGACTGGATTTTTTTGTTGTTATTCTGTCTCTCACTGTTCAAATAAACCTACCATTCAAATTATAGACTGATCATGTCTTTGTCAGTGGGCAAACATACAAAATCAGCAGGGGATCAAATACTTTTTCCCCTCACTGTATCTAAGAGACACTGAATGACTTGATGTAGCCTAATGCAGTGTTACTACACTGACCATTGCACAATGATATGGGGCTTTGGTCGAAATGGCACCCTATACCCTACATAGTGTACTACTTTTGACCAGGGCTGGTCTGTGCACTAGTGCACTATAAAGGCAATAGGGTGCTATTTAGGACTCATCCATGGGCTTCACTAAATCCTTCAGACTTTTGCTATGCTATGGTAATGATTGTTGGGTGCCTTACAGGTGTCAACAGCATAGCACAACTCATTCAATAAACCCATCCTGAAGAAAGGATATGGGCTATAGCGTATTTATAAAGAATTAAAATATTACAATTGTGATTACACTTAGTGGATCGTGTAATTTTTTTGCACTTAGATCTTTCATGCTAAAGTGTAGTCCCACAGAATCAGAATGTGTAGAACAGAATGTCCGTCAGTGCACAGACAGATTTGAACAATGGAATCTGCCATTGTTGCATGTTTAGAACCCTGAGAACGGAACAGAATTCCGTGTTGCAGAGAACTCGGACTTCAGAACAATCCATCAAACATTCCAAATGACCAGAGCCTTCTAAATAGCGGCCTCTGGGACACCAAATATGGCCACAGGGAATGCTGCATTCACTGGAAATGGCACATTTATTCATTCTATTTCTACGTAAGTAATATCTTTACCTTCATGGTGGCATTTACAGAGATGAATTACCCCCCTATTGTCATGTAATTTATTCACTAATATCAAGTGTACAGCACGTCACTTTATTGAACGGACTTTGAGCCGCGTCTGTTAATAATGGCAGTAAATTGGGGTGGAGGGGAGCCACAGACACACGCGCTCACTAACCTATCCTACTCATTTAATTGCCACAGTGACAGTGAGACTGTGCAGTAGCGAGAGACAGGGCTGCAGCCTGCCCACACATGCCGCTCTCTAGGTGAGGACTACAACCAACCACCATGAGGTCTCCCAAGCTCCCCAACCCGGGTCTGGATGACCGGATCCCGTCTCATCAGGAGCTGGAGAGGATGGAGGAGGAGGAGGCCAGGACAGGCCCAAATGGGACAACAAGACCCAGCACATGCTGACCTGTGTGGGGGCGTCTGCATCGGACTGGGCAATGTCTGGCGGTTCCCTTACCTGTGTCAGAGCCATGGAGGATGTAGGGAGGGGAGAGGGTTCCATGGAGGAGGTGGGGAGGGGAGAGGGGAGTGGGTTCCATGGAGGAGGTAGGGAGGGGAGAGAGGAGAGGGGAGTGGGTTCCATGAAGGAGGTGGGGAGGGGAGAGGGGAGAGGGTTCCATGAAGGAGGTGGGGAGGGGGAGAGGGGAGAGGGTTCCATGGAGGAGGTAGGGAGGGGAGAGAGGAGAGGGGAGTGGGGTTCCATGAAGGAGGTGGGGAGGGGAGAGGGGAGAGGGTTCCATGAAGGAGGTGGGGAGGGGAGAGGGGAGAGGGTTCCATGGAGGAGGTGGGGAGGGGAGAGGGGGAGAGGGTTCCATGAAGGAGGTGGGGAGGGGAGAGGGGAGAGGGTTCCATGAAGGAGGTAGGGAGGGGAGAGAGGAGAGGGGAGTGGGTTCCATGAAGGAGGTAGGGAGGGGAGAGGGGAGAGAGGAGAGGGGAGTGGGTTCCATGGAGGAGGTAGGGAGGGGAGAGGGGAGAGGGTTCCATGAAGGAGGTGGGGAGGGGAGAGGGGAGAGGGTTCCATGGAGGAGGTGGGGAGGGGAGAGGGTTCCAGAGGGTTCCAGAGGGTTCCAGAGGGTTCCAGGGGGTTCCAGAGGGTTCCAGAGGGTTCCATGGAGGATCATTCTTATTCTTTTCATCTGAGTCTGGAACTGTGTCCATGGCTTCGTCCCAGATGGCACCCTATTCCCTATATAGTGCACTACTTTAGACCAGGACCCATTGAGCTCTTGTCAAAAGTAGGGCACCTTGTAGGGAATAGGGTGCCATTTGGGACACAGGACAATCATTGACACTTTGGAAAGGAGGGTTAGTGTAGAAAGTGTCATTAATAATTTCCTAATGGCTGGTTAACTTCAAACCTTTCCTACAATAGTTACGTAACAGATACTGACAGGAACAAACGTATGTTTCACTGTTTATTCTTTATCCTACCTCCTAAATCCTATATCCTATATCCTATATCCTATATCCTATACCCCATAGCCTATAGTCTATATCCTAATCCTATATCCTAAATCATATATCCTAAATCCTAAATTCTCTATCCTAAATTCTATACCCTAAATCCTAAATTCTATTTCGTATAATCTTTATCTTATACCCTATACTCTAAACCCTATATTCTATACCCTAAACCATATGTTATATCCCCTAAACCCTATATTATATATCGTAAACCCTATATTCTATACCCTAAACCCTATATCCTATATGATATAAT